GTATTGAACTTTGCTGTTGAACAATAACCAAATAAAACAAATAACTATCTTGACTGGCATGGTGAAATGAACACTTCCTTCTCTATAGAGTAACACTGAGCCACCCTCCCATTGCAGCCCAGGTTAGAGGCTGTGTACCCTGTAGGAGTCCAAGCTTACCAAAGAGCAAACTGTGACAGCGTTTAGCATGTTAATAGTTGTTATTCCCTCAACAAGTAGCCTAAGTGGCTGCAAAAAACAAAGCATGTTCATATGAACTCAAAGAGGTGGATTTGTCCAGATAGTTTACTATAGCAGCAGTCAGCTGCACACACCTACAGCTAAATTCTGCCCTCATCTACTTAACTCATGATACAGGCAGAGGAAAGACAAGTGTGAGTAGCTGGGAAAACAATCTCCCCCTGGTAAATTACCCACACACCTCGAGCTGGGAAAAGAAAAACATCTTAATTAACAATAGTGTGATCTAATGACAGGTTTGGGATTTATCCCAGCAGTGTACTGGTAGCAAAGCAGACAAGAGATAGTTATCCATCCCACTGCTGTAATATGCTGGTGCTTTAAGGCCTAATAGCTGCAACTTAAAAAAAAATAAAATATTAAAAAAATCACAACTAGAGTCAGACCGAGTACAACCTGCAGTTACTGTACAGTTGAACTTACACCTGCTGGGAAAACTTGCTAGATCAGACTTAAATGTAAATACATCTATTTTTAACTGAACCAGTTTTTACAGGGTCTGAAGTATTCTTTCACAGGAAGAGGTTTTTAATATTCACACTGCTGCCTACAGTAACTTAATTTGTCCTCCTACTGTTCAGTGTTTTTGGTTTTGTGCACATACCCACCCCCGTACCCCAATAAAGGGCTTGTTGGAGGGTGTGTGGGTGGGTTACTAATAGCTCCTCTTACATTTTGGTCTACATGACATTCTTCATGAAAATGCTCTACATAAAATCCAAGCTGCTTGATTTATCTATTGTGCCTACTATCTGATGTATATGATGAAATGCTAACTTGTTAAATGTTCCTTTATTTCTATTATACTGTGCACAAAGAATACTTATTTAAAGCTCATTGTTGCAGTCCTATGATGCATGATCAGAATTGTAACAAAACTAAAATAATCCAGAAAATGGTGGAGTAAAAACAAATTATTTATTGAGCCTTTTGATTACCAAGAACCCTGCACAAATCCAGTGTCAGCTTGGACCATCACACCCTGTGCTGAAATTTAAGGGGTTGGGGAGGGCAGGGAGCTCTTGTTATTGCTGCTGTAGACAGGGAATGGAACAACTTACTCAAAGAGTCCCCAAAATGACTGTAACAAAAGCCTCTGCATCTACCTTAAAAAAAAAAAGTGCTCTCCTAGCAACAGCCAAGAATAAACATAACAGCACAGACTGTGAGATGTGGGTGGGGAATGTAAGTGAGCTAATAAATCCAACTCTTGATCCAGCTTTTGCTTTTGGAGGGATTTGATTCATCCCATTGCAATAAGGGAACACAGTGATTAATCTAATTCATTCACCTGTCAAGCACGAAACAACCCAGCAAGGGAAAAACTGACCAGCTTAACTCTTCCTTCTTCAGCCCCTGCCCTGCCAGGGACCAGCCCTCCTGCTTAAGAGAAAGAGCCCCGGGGGGCTGCAGGGGGTGGTGGCTTACCTGGAGGGAGGCTGTGGCTCCTGGGAGATGTTGATGTGGCTGAGGCCACAGGGACACCACACTGCGATCACCTGGCTGTGCCCCCCAGGGCAGGTGGGCAGCTGCACTCACTTGCCCCAACAAGCAGAGCAGGATGGAGGTGCTCACAGTGTAATTGATCCTGCCAGCCCTCTGGTGCTGTGCTGGTCAGAGCCTGGGCACCCCCACCCTGGTTTCTAACTGCAGTGCTGACTGCACACCAGGTACCAAGTGCTCTACTGACTCAGACAGGGTTAGAGGCTAAAAGTAAAAGAAAAAGAAAAAAAATAGCTTTCCTCAGAAGATCTGGTTCTGTCCTGTGGTTCCACCTTACCAGCACTGGAGTGAGTCTGGAGTGAGCCATGCATAGATGGAGTTGGAAAGATTCTACAAACCCTAGCAAGAACTAAAGAGCCCAAGTGCATAAATACCGTTAGGTCTTGCGTACTTTTACCTTCCTTTCTCTTCCACTTCTGAAAGTTTCTGCTTCCTTAGGCTTTGGCTTATGAAAAAAAAATGTTTTGCAACTGAAAAAAAACAAACAACCAGAAAAGCAAACCAAATTCTTCAGCTACCTCTGAGCTCCTCTTTTTGTCTAGCAAACCAATTAATTCTAGGTCATTCAAATAAGAACTGTGTGGCAGCATTTCCCTGCTGACAGTACAAGCATTAACGAGGACGCAGTGCATGCCTAGCTGCCAGGACACACTCACATGTACTGTACTTTGAACACAGGTGAAAAAAATAATTCCTTCCAACACTTGCCTCTCCTCTGCTTACATTTCCTCCCAAACACTCGGTTCTGCACACCTCACCTACTTGGCTGTCACAGTGTGTGATGTGCACTCTGCCCCAGCAGCACCCACTGCTGGGGCCTTGGCCCACAGTGCCCTTGGTGCCTGAGTGATGGCCAAGACACCAGCACAGTCCAGTCCCACCAGGGCTCCTCCAGCCACAGACCCTGAGCCTGTGAGCTGCTCACAGAGCAGCTAATACCAGACCATGGCCACTTCCATTAAGCCAACAGCACAGAGCACACAAGCCCCCACCATCCTGCTGCTGTGCACTAGTGCCATTGCCCTGCACAACATCAGGCACTAGCACACCTGCTGATGCTGCCATGGAAGGAGAGACCATTATTGAACATCATTATTCAATATTATTTAAGTATCAGGTTTCTCTATGGCAGGGAGGTGACAACACTTGTGGTCACACCTTTTTCTACCAGCACATACTTAGGCATTTAAACTTGTAGGGGTTTTTACTGAGTTTACATTTCAACAAAAGCAATTCTGTCAGCTTCACATGAACTGTTCCAACCTGCTCCCCCCTTCTCTGCTATTGCTGCAGCTTTGTTTACTGCACTGACAAAACCAGCTCAAGCTAAAAGGAACCTCTGCCTCCCTGGCAAATCTCCCAGCTCTTCCTGCATAACATACCACTGCAGGTACCAGCACCAAATACACATCCCACAGCCTCTTCCCTGACCTCCTCACAAGCCAGCAGCTTCCGATGCCAATATGACAGAGGGTGCAGACTGTCCCCTGCACAGCCCAATCCAATGTCCCACATGTGCCACAGCCACATCCAACCCGCAATCACACACTGTCAAGGAGAACAGGTTGGAAAAAAAGGTCTGCTGGAAGAACAGCAGCTGGAACAAAGCGGGGGGGGGTGAGGGGTGGGGGGGGGGGTTTGGGCTAATACTTCTCAGCTCTAAGTACCAGCACAATGCAGCTTGTAAGCAACTGGACTCATTACTTCTGCAAACTTTACAGCACAAACATACCTCCCGTCTCTTCTCTACTGATTACCTGCAAGTGGACAAAGTGTTTCAAGCTGCACCTATGAATGAAAAACTTGCACAACCCAACAAAGCATGAAACTGCAGTCAAGGTATCACAGCGTATAAAAAAAAAAACAACTCAAGGCAGCAGAGGTTACTAAGAATGGGAAGGATAACAACAAAGCAAATCACCCACTTTTCTTGAAAATGTTTTATTTGTTTCTGAAGAGGCTGAAAACAAAAGCAATTCCCTATTTCAAAATACCAAACACTATCTGTAGCATGAATGAAGAAAGTTTTCAGAGAAAACTATTGCACTAGACCCAGATCTACTGAGCTACTCAGGATACTGTAACAAGGCTAGTGAACAGACCCAAGGATGGCAAAGCACCCTTCCTGTGGCTGGTTCCTGACCGCTGAGCGGCTGCTGCAGCTTTTGTCCCCACTCCAAGTCCTCATTGATTGGTACTATGTGCTCTTCCCCCACAGTGGGACACAGCTGGTTATCATTGGCACAGTCACTGGCACTCTCAGGCACCAACAAACAAACAGTGTGGAGGACCTAGCAGGTCACTCCTCCAAGCTGGTTCCCCCAGGGCAAGCCCGAGGCACACTGGCAGGAGGTTTTGCATTAATGTTGCATTTCTTTTGGGATAAAACAGGCTGCCAGTACCACGTACAGGCAACCTGGTGTTACTATATACTCTTAGAAAATATAAACAGAGTAACAAGTTGCAGAGAGCTCCACAGCCCGGGCTGTAGAAGCACCTGGGATTTTACATCCCTGGCACGAGGCCCAGCTCCAGCCAGGGCAGGGCAGGGTGCAGTGCTGCTGTACCCAGACACCAAGGGGCAAGTTTGGCCACTGGGACACAAATGACTTCAGGCTGTTCCTGAAGAACTAAATCCCTTAACCAATTTCCTTACAGTTCCCTATCCTAGCTTAAGGAAGTCCTTATCAGCAACAGCAAGAGAAACTCGTTTCAAAAAACAGATTACAAGGTGACACATTTATGATTCACAGAAACATCCAGCCATTAAAAACAATTATCTTTACCAGAAATTCCACAGGGGAAAAGTTGTATTTCAATTCTCATGAAGAGAAAAACTCCACAGCAACACTGCATCCCAGTCTACTGTAAACTAAGAATGAGCTTGTAGATGATTGTACTCGTTTTGACTAGAAAAGGTTGCTACTAGAAAGATCATCAATATTCACACTTAATTCAGCCACACAAGTTTGGAACTTGCCCCTGAAATAATTGTGTTTGATGCTATGTGTTTGAAAGCTGTAACAGGCTTGCTATTGCTGAGTGTTGAGCTTAAAAAAGATTCCACAAGAATCCTCAACATTCTTTGGGCTGGCTTGTTAGTTACTTACAGTCTGGCTCACTGCTGAAGGTCTTTAATCTGTTGCTGCCCGCACATTGATGGTTTTTTAACTGAGCTGACAATGGGCACTGACACCTTTGCCATCTGTCTAGTTGCCACAAAGCTGCTGTCTTCAAGAACTTCCAAGGTGGGACTGGGACAATAAGGCAAATACAGGAAAACTTGGAAGTCTCAGAGACAATATTAAATCAGAGTTCATTTGCTACAGCACAGAGCAGGAGTACATTTGGTTAAGAGAAGAATTTTTTTTCTGAGACTGCACTGGCCCAGAACTATTGGTCACAAACTCCTATGATGTTCATATTGGCTTGTACAGCAAAGTAGTCACGTATTTCTTCTTGTAACGATGTGTAGCACTAAGCACCATCACTCCATCCTACAGGAAATGGAAAACAAGTGAGAAACATGGTTATCTAAAAGTCACAAGTGTGAAGAACATGTCCTGGCCTCTCACCTTGATAGAAAGTGCGTAGAGGTGGTTCAGCATGACATGGTTGGGTTCAGGGAGTAGAGCAGGATCGCACTGGTGGCAAAAAGAGAAAGTGAGACAGTGTGAAAATAATAGAAAGCAGTTTGCTCATCACAGCTGATGGGTGACAAACACCATCTGTAACTACCTATGCCCACAAACACATCACACTGCTCCTTGCGCTGAGTCCATCAAGGGATGCAGGCAAAGGTTTAGATCCCTCCAGGGTGAAACCCCCTCCCATCCTCACTGCCATTGTGAAACAGACCTCAACTACTTTTTATGTGCTCCTGACATTTTCATAGGTTTGCAGTGGGAAGCCTAGGGTTTCTGGGAGTAAAATAGCAATTTAGTTGTTTTTTTTTTCCATTTTGAAGATCCATCTGGACATAAGTAATAAGGAATTTACCAACATGGCAACTATTCTAAGGTTTGTCCTCACCTGTCCCTGTCTGTACCCAGATGTTATCCCACTCTGTTCACACCCTGAAGGCCATTCAGCAAAACAATCAAATGTACTCACAGAAATGCCTGTGTCCTTATTCAGGATGACCTGCAGCAGGTGGGGAGGAAGAATAGGTGGTGATTTAAAGCGCTCCTCTGCCTTCCAAACATAGGGCTCCTGATGGTACGGTCCTGGGGGTGAACTTGACAATTCTGCCAGAAAGATGTTAAATATTTATTCTTCAATAGTCTGTAAGAATATCTGCTCTTTATAGGCACATTTTTACTGATACTCCAGGTCGATTTTCACATCCAGAAACACAGCCAAAATAAATCAATGGCTGCAGCAGCTGATGCGGTGCCAGAGGATCAGGGATTTAAGATATCCAAAAGCTGTCTGACTTGAGACGAGCTGTGAAGATGTGGGAGGAGAAGTTCTGAGGGCCCTACTTAACTCCACTGTCATCTCTGCACAGCACTCCTCCAGCAAACACTTCACCATAAACACTGTTCCACAACGCTGCCTCCAAAGGAAGCACTACAGGCACGGCAGGCGCATGTAAAGGGCAGGCATTACTCCTGTGCTGGGGCAGGGCAATAGAAAGAGCTCTTCAGAATCTAAAGCAGTGTCAGGAAAGGATGTTACCTCATGGGGGGAGCATCTACTAGAATCTCCTCCCAGCTTCTTGCACTACCCAAGTCTCACATATCACACTCTTTTCAAAAAAGCTTTGTCTAGTGGAAATCTGCATATAGCAAAACCTAACTAAACAGGCCTTCTGCCTCAGATTCAAAAGACCGGTCTTCTGAAGGAGGTTTTAAGGTACTACTTCAGTCATGGTCTGAGCCTGTGTTAGCACTACTAAGATGCACCTAATTCCTACCTCTTAAAGTGCAACTTCTGACCTCCTTAGCAGAGGAAGATGGAAGTAGGAGCAATGTAGGCTGTCAATATTGGCTTGATGTTGCAGAGACTGATCCACTACTGAGTGCATTAAAGCCAGCCATTTCATATTGCACAGGCAAACAAATTGCTATTTAAGCACCCATGACTTCCTCCTAATCAGATCTACAGTGATCTGTGTTGCTCTGTCAGGGGCTGCCTCCTTTATGCACTCCACATCCCTCCTCTGAGCGTTTGTGATTCCTGCACACGTCCACAGGGCCTGACAAAAGTGGAGATTAATCTAGGCTGGAGTTTTAACTCCAGATGAAAAGGAAGATGAAATTTTAACAGCTCTAAAAAGTGTGATATAAAATTACCAGTAGGCTCATACCAGACATGTCTGAACATTTTTGGGAGTCCACCATCAAAGCATCGAATACTTCAAAGTCAGTTTTCTTCACCTGTATGATGTTGTTGACAGTACCTAGCTGGCTGGTTACTACTGGCTGGGAAGAAACAAGATACACAAGTCAGAATAAAAAAGCTTGGAGGACTATTAGATTCTCAAAACAACACAGTCAGCCTTACCAAGAATGAGATATATTGCTTTTAAAATATGCTAGTACCAGATCAAGAAGATCTAACCACTGCTCAGTGTGAGGTTAAGAGCAAGTGCAGGATTCAGGACTGGGGGATGGATGCCAGTTGAACCTGCTGGGTCCACAGCACTTGGTAAATTCCTGGGCTACAGACAAAGCTAAGATCAGGTCTGGGCTGAAATTCACAGTAATGACAGAGGAGCTAAGCTTTATTTCTGGCTTCTACAGGGCTTTCAGGGCCAGGCTAAGATTTGCATGGCCTGATGTAGGACAGAGTATGGCTGGTACTGCTGGTTTACCACCAAAACTAAGACTGGAGTCCAAGGCCAAGGGTTCAAATAGCTAAATTTACTGCAAGATAAATTCTGTGAGGTTCTGCAAGGTTTGCCAAGACAGCAAAAAGACTGGAACGAGCAGCTGTGAGTGATTAACTCTGAAGCAGGCAGGAACTGCTACATAGCTCAGCATTTTATAACACAGGAGGAAGAAAAGGCCTGATAGGTTTTGGCACAACTACTGGACTATGAAAAGATGCAGAGCAGTGATGGCAATATTCTGGCACAGATGGCATGTGCATTGCAAAAGAGATCTGGGCTGCTAGCAATGCCACAGTGCTTTAAAAGACAGCCTGGCACTGGACAGGAAAAGCTCACCACCTCTTACAAGCCAACACTAGAGAGACCTTGTCACCTGTTACAAAATCTCCTGTCCTTTGAGGCTGAAAGTCTGATGCTGTCACCAAGGCCAGCAGGGCTCAGAAATACCTCTCACCAGCTGAAACAGTCAGTTTCTGCTGTTAACCAATAATACCTTCTCTGAAAAGGCCAGCTGTTGGTAGAGAAACTAGATAGTTTCTTCTCTTCAGTTGCCTCAATGAATACACCCAGTGAGGCAAAGAAAACATTACCTCTGAAGGATCATGAGTCCACTGCCCGTCCACAAAGAACTTGTATTGGTGCTCCCCTTCTGGCAGGTCCAGGATGGCCACAAAGTTATTGTGACTGGAATTTAAGGCAAACAATGAGCCCTGAGATATTCTGTAAAGTACCTTGATCTATAAACAGTGACAAAAACTGTAACACAGAACACAAGCCACCTCAGCATGCAAAAACTTAAAAAAGGCAGTGCCACATTTAAGAGAATCTCTGATGCAATCTAAAGGTAGAATCACACTAAGGTTGTTTGTTTTGTGACAGTAAGTCCCAACACATTCAAAATTAGTATCATCTTCACATTATTTGTTAGTACATGAGACCTCATTTTATCTGTGAAACTCCTGCTGATGGAACAAAATCAGCTCACTCAGTTTCCTTGCCTATCAGTATTTGCCATCATAAATTGCCTTTCACAAATGCCTATGACATGAATGAACGACATTAGAAGATGAAAGCAGGCACTCAATCTTTCTGAGTTACTTTGGGTCTAAAATTGCTGCTGCTTGGTAATTCTGATACTCCCATCCTGTGAAATTCCAATTCCTCAGAAGTCTTTACCAGCACCTTAAGGAAGCTGAGAAACAGGTGATGCTACGTGAACAACTCAAACAGGTCACACAATGTCACTGTCTCTCTTCTTCTCAGGTAAGGAGCACAAGCATCACAGAGCTGGATTTCAAACTGCAGTTTGGAACAATGAACTCTTCTGCTTGAGCAGATTTGATTCAGTAACATGCTTTTACCCAGCCCTCTAAGGGATTCCAAATATCTCCCTTCCCAGAATACCTAATCTGATAAAAGACAAACCTGTCTTTCTGGGGATTTTTTTTTGGTAAAGCGACATTTTCTTTTTTCCTTCTTCCCAGATTAATTTTGCCATATCACATCTCCCAGGATTTCTACTGAGAGTATGACAGTAATACTGATGTTCCACTGGCCTCTTTTGCAGATCCTGTCTTGATAATTTATTTCACATTGTTAATGCACTGAACAATCCTTCCATACCTTTTCATCAGGCCACTATGCTCCTCCCTCAAGTTTCCTAAAAAAACCCCACACTTCTGCAACAGTGACAATGCAGGTACCCACTCAGTGAGATGAGAAACACCAGAAACTGGCAGGAGACCAATATTCCATGGATATGTCATCATTGACAGACAACAGACTCAGATCAACAGTTAAATTCAGACTTTCTGCCATCCATTAAGTCTTAATTTTTTTTAAAAAACACATTGGTTTAAATTAAATACTCAGGTACAGAATTAAGCAGTGCTCCAGAGCTCTCTGGCAGGAAAAAGCACCTAGCATAGATTTATTCTCTCATTCATGCAGTTTACCAGCAGGTATCCCAGGCTCAGAGTTTTCTAAGCAGAGTCTAGACCCTTTGGGCAAAAGCCAATTCTGTGGCCAAAGTACACGAGCCAGCCCTCTTCTGCTTGAGCAGATTTGATTCAGTAACATGCTTTTACCCAGCCCTCTAAGGGATTCCAAATATCTCCCTTCCCAGAATACCTAATCTGATAAAAGACAAACCTGTCTTTCTGGGGATTTTTTTTTGGTAAAGCGACATTTTTTTTTTTTCCTTCTTCCCAGATTAATTTTGCCATATCACATCTCCCAGGATTTCTACTGAGAGTATGACAGTAATACTGATGTTCCACTGGCCTCTTTTGCAGATCCTGTCTTGATAATTTATTTCACATTGTTAATGCACTGAACAATCCTTCCATACCTTTTCATCAGGCCACTATGCTCCTCCCTCAAGTTTCCTAAAAAAACCCCACACTTCTGCAACAGTGACAATGCAGGTACCCACTCAGTGAGATGAGAAACATCAGAAACTGGCAGGAGACCAATATTCCATGGATATGTCATCATTGACAGACAACAGACTCAGATCAACAGTTAAATTCAGACTTTCTGCCATCCATTAAGTCTTAATTTTTTTTAAAAAACACATTGGTTTAAATTAAATACTCAGGTACAGAATTAAGCAGTGCTCCAGAGCTCTCTGGCAGGAAAAAGCACCTAGCATAGATTTATTCTCTCATTCATGCAGTTTACCAGCAGGTATCCCAGGCTCAGAGTTTTCTAAGCAGAGTCTAGACCCTTTGGGCAAAAGCCAATTCTGTGGCCAAAGTACACGAGCCAGCAGAGACAATACACTTAAAACCAGCTTCATCTTACACACTCTGACCCCACCCCAGGTAGCAGGCTGCACAACAAGGATTGTTTTGGGTCATTCATGCATGGTGTCTACTGAACAAATCACTCCTTCCAAACTGACCCACAGCTCAACTTTCATCCTCTGTCACCCAAGAATCAAAAAGTCAGATTCTCATCAAGGGCTTCAGAAGAGAAGCAGTAAAGTGGTAACTCAAAGCACAACACCAACCTATCAGCTGACCACCTTTCTCACTGCACTTTCTCACCTTCTCACTGCACCTTTCTCACTGCAGCCACAGTCCCTGGGGAAATATATCATTGATACAGCAGCATCAGTTTATTACCTCCTTGTCAGAGGAATTTTACTCCAGTTGTTGAAGGACCCAGATAAATAGACTTCTTTTCCTCCCCCAGTCCAGCGAAAGACCGTTGGTCGAGCTTGAGTGGGAGTTTTATCATTCACTTCCAGATCTTGTTGCCAAGCCAGGAATTCTTCTTTCTCCAACGGAGCCTACAAACACAATATCTTAATCAAAGGAATTCTTTCCTAGCACATTTAAGACAACCTATATTTTCTTGAAGGCATTTTTCTCTAAGGTACAAGACTACAAGCAGTTTTTGTCAGATAGAGATTAGAAACTGTGCATTTCTAGATGCTGTTCGCAAGTTAATTTACACAAATTCTGCAAAGATGTTAAAGGCTTCCAAATTTGCAGAAAGAGCGGAAGGCAGAATAATCCCCCTCTCTCCATTTTAGATCAGGTTAAAAAGAAATTACTTGAGCTCACAAGAATTTTCAAAATACACAGGTATAAGAAGAGGGAGAAAAATAATTAAGAAGAAATAAGCTTAAGAAGCATTTAGATTATACAAATACTGTAGGCACAAAATTTGTAGATAGCAGAAAGATTATGAGTTGTCTATAGGAAACAGCTCTGTTCCTCTTATGAAGCATGATACACAGCAAGATGTTTCTAAGAATCGATCTAATACTGATTAAAAACCTAGTTCATAGCTCTTTTGTTATGGAAAATAATAGACAGGTGACTGCAAAGCATTAATGATCCAAAGGAAGCTGAGACACTGCCTAAAGATGGGGAAGAGCTCTGAGCGAGTGGCATTTTAGTTTTTCTAGTTAATCCTTGCTGGAAACTATGACTTTACACTCATGATACCTGCTTGAACATTGATGCAGTATCTCTCCTTAGCATAAGGAAGCAAGGGACACAGCCAGTGCTGAGAGAAAACTCAATAGCAGGATTACTGCAGGTGGTTACCAGCACCACAGCCAGACAGCATTCCCAAGCTAGTACTGGCAGAAGGCAAGAACAAACCAGCAGTACCTTGATTTCCTCTGAATGGAACAAGTCTGTATCTTCAGGACTGTCCATTAAAATTTTTGGTCTATCACCCTCTTTGGTACTGATGGCTCCTCCTGAGCTGTCCCCCCGGGATGCCTTGTGCCCGTGGCGCTCCAGGCCAGCTCGCTCACTGCTTGTGTTCCCCATTTTTAAGGGCCTAAAAGAACAGAAAAAGCCAGGTTAGCATTAAGTTAGTACTTCTGAAGGCAGAACAGCAGTAGGTGGGAAAGCAGGCTCATTGGTAGACCTGGGCTCTGTTTCTGAGTTGAAAAACCTAAGAAACTTGATTAACCCAAAAGAATAGCATCTTAATGCCACATCACACTGAGATCAAAGACACTAAATGACAATGTTTAGCTACATTTGATAATGTGCTACAGTTCAATATCCTAGTGACTCAGCCACTCTAAAAGTTGACTGAACAGGTCTCCTTCACTGCAGCACACTAGTGTTCTGTCTTCTCAAAGTTCTTGTTCTTCTGTCTTCTGAATACTCACGCACATCATGTTCTACCACATCAGCTGAAACACCAGCAGAACTTCCTGTCAGAAGGCTTCAAAACCAGCCTAGCAGAACCATAACTTCACTAGAAAATAAAGTTAGCTCAATGTGGCAACCTGCTGAGGATCCTTACAGCAGCTGGCTGTGGCTCTCAAGCGCAGACAGGACAATTGTGCTGAGGCTCTGCTGGAGGCTTTCTCCAGTGCCTGCTCTTTTCTGAGAGGCAGGGGCCTGCTGTGCCAGAAACACAATGCCCCACAGCCCGTGTGGCCGTATTCACAGAAAGAAGGGATGAGACTGGATGCGTGTGTCGTATCTCATCCGAAAGAACCACCTACAGGTGAAGAGCAGCAGCTCAGAGGTGGCCGTGGGCACCGTGCCGAACCGTACCCCCAGGGCCCTGCAGAGCACCCAGCAGGGTACAACTGCACATACAGGACACTGCTGTTCCCTGTAAGCTCGTTACGGGCACTGCACAGATGGCAACCGGGTCCCCGTGCGGGGGGCAAACCCGGGCCTTGCAGCCCAGCGGCCCCAGCGCCCCACGCGGCCCTTTCGTCGCCATAGGAACCATCTCCGTAGCAAACGCCAGCCCCCGGCCCCGCTTCTCCCCACTGCCCCGGGGCTCCCCCTGCCCTGCCCGCACAAGGGAACCCACCTCTCGCCTGCCGAGCCCGCCGCTCCCCACCTCCCAGGGCTTCCGCTTCCGTCCGGCCGCGCACCCGCACTGCCGCCCCGGGACAACCGGAGCCCGGCGCGAAGGTTCCGGCACCGAGCACTCGATAACCGGCCGGGGCTCCTGCCGGGCCTCGCTCCAGCAGGGCTGTGGCGCCAGGCTCTTTGCCCCCTGTCCCACCCCATATCTACTCGGTAGAACTGCTAAACTGGGGCCGTAGGGATGAGCTCGGCAGCGAAAAGTGATGAGACTTCACCGGCCGCTCGGAACAGTTTTCTTCAAATGACTACCACAAAGAGGTTTTGGATCTGCAGAATTGCAGATGAGTGTGCACAGGGAGACTGGAACCAGGCAATTAAAACATTTGCCCTCTTCGTGAAACGGGAGCAAGAGCTGGCTGAAAGGACACTGCCTTTAGATGGTGAAAGCAGCCTATGAAACCACCAGTCCATGGCTCTTTCCTCTGAGGAAACAGATGGAAACTAAACTCCTTAACTGTTTCCCAAATTAAATTACACTCATATATTTTTCTAACATATTGCTCTAAGCATTTCCAATTACACTATCTCGTTTTACCCTTTGCTCTTCCTCAGCTGTTGCTGTCTTTCTTCTACTTTTCTAACAGGCACAAAGCTGTGAGGACTGCAGGTTCCTGCCTGGCTGGGCAGTTCTCTTCATGAGGAAGGTGGCGTTTTTCTCTTAAACAGTCAAAGCAACCTGCAAACACACAGAAGGATTCCTGCCAAATCCAAGTCTATCCTTGTGGCATGCTCTGGGGAGAATTCTGCCAGGACAGATCAAGCGTGCCTACTGGTGAGTGCACGGGTGTCTCCCAGTGTGTTTTGAGGAACAGCTGCTCCCAGTTTGTCTTTCATGAGTAGAACACCTCAGCACGGGTCAGCCTGCCCAGGGGGTGTGAGGAGAATGCGTGTGGGCAGCTCTTCCCCAGCCCTCAGAACAATTACACTGCTATAAAGTGCAGCTGCTGTTATTTTGATATTTCACACAGCTTAGCACTCCTAAATTGTTTGCCTCCAAACCCAAATTATTTTGTTCTCCCCAGTTCTCTTTTGGCCAGCACCAGTGCACATGCCTATGCCTGCAGATACACACTACCATGTCTTGTCCATCACTCGCCCAAGTAGGACCATCTTGATGGTGTACACAAGTCAGCCAGACTCATTGCAAGCAACAGTACCTTCACTTTGAGACCCATCCTCATTTATTTGCAATCATTTTCATTACTTCTAAGAACTACAGATAGGTGACAAATGGTAGGATAAGGATTAATAAGCTGTGGGAACTAATCTATGGTAGGTTCAAGCATTATTCAATTTAAAGTTCTGATACTAAAACGTGAACGGTTCCTCCCTTCTTAGTGAACATATGTACATCCATGTGTGCCACATGCCAAAATCTTTGGGAGTTACTGGCCTGTGGACAGGACAGATAGGATAGACACAGGCATGTCAACCTCTGGTGGTTGGGCTTCACTGCTGCTGCCTTCTCCTCCCTCTTTTCCAATGCCTGCTTCCTCTTCAACCCCGATTCCCGTCTTCCCTCACTGTCAGTCATGACAGGTGGGTGTAGCACAGTCCTAGAGCAATCAGCCTGTACTCGTCCCCATGAATTAGAAGGCCTGGATGACATTACACCATGAACAACAGTCTTATGTGAGGGGCTTACCATTGCTGCCCACTAAATCATCACCTTGCCTCCTCATGGGCATGTCTGTATGCATGGTCATCACATGCGCTGGAGTATTGCTTTGTCCTGTCAGCTTGAGTGGGAGCTCAATTCCCTTACATCTGTTAATGCAGAAGATGTGGGAAGCAGGAGATTAGGTAAAGACATGCCACAAGGGCCTGGCAGAGCTCATCCACCCACTGATTTTATGGAACTCTGGAGTTTTGCTCCTCCCTTTAACAGTATCTGTGACATTTTGCCTCCCTTCAAGCTCTACAACTTGAAGGTATAAAAACTATCCTTCTTTCACTCCATCCAGCACCAGCCCTCACATTCCAAAGGAAGACTACAAAATACCTTTTCTACCCCTACCCCTTTACATACCAGTCTTAACTTTCTTTTCCTTACTGCCAGAGGAGGATGTAACAGATCGGGAGCTGGTTCATATTCTTCCATCAAGACTTCCATATGTGCCACAAATGAGGTTCCTGGTTCACTTTCCTAGTGAGAATGTCAGAGGTGTCACTTGCCATTGAAATAATCTATCACAACAACTCTCCCTAGTTTTCCAAGCTGCCTTTATGTCTCAGATGAGGACACAGCAACAGGCCACCCAGGCTTAGCCCTCACTAAGCACTCCCAGCTTTGGTATCAGAACAATCTGCTCCTTAGTTGTTTAGCTGTGCACATTGCCTTACAAATTTGGGGGATGCCCAAGAATAGTGACTGAAAGCATTTTCACTGAGAAGGAGAAACAATTAGGTTTAAATGTCCTTCCTGCCTCTGGGACTAACTGCCAGCATGACTTTCTAGAAGACTCTTAATCACTTCTGCCTTTAGCTATTAGCTTTCCTCGGCTGGGTGAATATGACAATCTTTTAGTTAAATACAAATTCAGGACTGCAAATTATTATGTTCTGGTGTATTGAGGACCCTGCTTGTGTTCACTACTTACATTTCCATGGACAAATTACTCACCTTAAAAAACCTTTAAATTTAGACATCCCCAAAACAATATGAAATTTTGGTATTAGCAATCACACCACCAATGTGACTGCTGATTTATGGTTGTATGCTCAGGAAAAAAAGTGGTACCATGGAAATTGTGTGGCGATTCACAACAGCAGGTTGAATTGCAAATGGCAGAGTTGGAAGGTAGAAGGATCAGAGGGAAATATAATTGAATACTTTGGAATAAGAAATTCCCTTGAAAGGAAAAGAAAAAACACCACAACACACTTCACTTTGAATGTTCACAACCCCTAAAACAAAGTAAAAGTAATTAATTAAATGCTTTCTTAGGTGTCATGACTGTGCTACACTGCCACAATAAGGCAATGTGAGGTTTTAAGAAGAGATGCTTGTAAAGCACCTGCAGGATATGAAGAGTCACATAGTGTCTGTTCTTTACCATGTCATTAACCACAAGCAAAGGCCACCTCCTTTTTCCCTTACATCTAACTTCTTCAATAAACATGAAGTAGATGTACCTGACTATAGAAATCCACAGAGAGCATCTTATTCAGAAATTAATTTGGAGGCATTTTGGTTCTTGGCTCATAAGATGATGAGATTCAGCAGATGTTGTTGAAGTTCTAAGAGTCATGACAGAGCACTTTTGGTGGTGTACAGGCTGAGGGGTTAAGTGATATCTTCACTACTGAGTCATTCTTCCCCCTTGGAGATATCATTTACTGGCTTTCTTCATCAGCTGACTAATTTTTAAAGAAAATAAAGACCAAACAGGATCGATCTGAGGTCAGGAGAGACCTGTGTTAAGGGAACGTACGGCTTTGATCAAATGAGATGAAGAACGCGGTGAAGAATGGCCTTACAAACCTTTTCGGCACAAAAAACCCTTGTGCTAGCCCCAAGGAAGGGATGGCACTCACCAACCACTTGTGCTCCAGGCCAGAATCTCATTTTCACTGTTTGGAATATCTCCTGCAGCTGGTTAAAAACACAAGGCAATTAATGCCCCATTGAATGCTGGCAGAGATAAGTGTACACGAGGCTGCCATGACTCCCCATTACCACACATCCCTTAATTTCAGTGGAGATTCCCCTTCTCTTACCCCAGAGCATGTGTTGGAAAAGAAATGCAGTGGCCTAAAGTCTCAGACTATGCAGTTTGAATCCCTGATTAATCTGTTGGAATCTGGCAAAGTTCCTTTTCCTTGGTATGATGCAAGCTTATTTATCCAAAGAGAAGTCACTGTAAGCAGTGTGGAAGCTGACTCAGCCCTACAGCTAGATTTGACAAAACCAGGAGGGCCAACCTCAGTCATGAGCTGGTAGATGGAATTCAAACATGCCATAAATCACATTATAAAAGACACATGAGCAAGTGTTTCTTGTAGCTTTTGTGCCACGGACAGCGAGTTAGGTGGTAGCAGCAGAACCTTTCCTGGGGTTCAAGACAGCATAATTTTAACTGCAGAAACCTTCCTGTTACATTTTTTAGTATAAACTTCCTTTTTACCTTGGGCTTCTGAGTTTGTTCCCACATCTTTACATTGGCTAGAGAGATCCGTTTCCAAACCTCCTCCTCCTGTTAGGTCATTTCTGAATTTAGACCATTTTGCCAGGCTGCCAAGGAGTGATGCAGAGGAAGCTGGGCTGCCTCCTTGAAGGTTCACTCACATTTCAGGGACACATGCCATTGCTGTGCATGCAGAACATGCTGATGGGCTTGGGAAACAAAACTGTGAGTGCACACAAAAATCACTCATAGACCATTGCATCCCTTCTCTACATACCTTCAGAGAACTACTAATTAAAAATGAGGTTGAAGATGAGAGGATAGTAAGAGGAAACCAACATTCAAGTAGTGTTTCAGCCTGAAGGCTCAGTCTCAGAGGAGCTGTGGGTTAGGCAGAAGCCATGCAGACCACCCTGCACAGGCCTTCTGACCTCTTTGACTTTGCCTGGAGGTATCTTCTGCAAAGTCAGGGTAGGTTCCACATGTATTACATTTCCTTTTAGTTTACCTCACTACCACAAGCGAAGGTCTGGTAATATGTACTCTTCCCTCCATGAAACAACACATTCTATAAATTAGGCTCCTGAACAGCTGTCAGGTAACCAGGACATGGCTTACCAGCTTGGCCCTGAATCACTCCAGTGACTTCCTTTGTATTTAAATCTTACATGCCTTGGGGAATCCAGTCCTTCAAATGCATCCTCTTGCTCATGTGTGCACACACACTGCCCAAAAAGTAAAACCTAACTGGGAAGATAGCCCAGTCTCTCTCCTGCTGATGCGAATCAGTAACAAAATCCATTTTAAATAACTGGCAGATGAAGTTAGAGTCCAGGTAAGGAAGTGAGAGATGCTTGCACACTGTTCCAGCAGATGCTTCAAGGCTGAATTTGAGAGTGATGGACACTGGTAGCAAACATATACAACCTGTCTCCAGGCTGAGAGGCAGAACACAGTTCTGTGAGCACATATCTGAAATACAGGTAACAAAAGCAACAGCTCC